TATTTTATTGTACTATGAATTTGGTGCTTTGTGTGGAGAATAGTTTGCATATGACCTGCAAACTGGCTTTTAAAACAGGACAGATAAGGTATGCTTCACCACTAGATCATGTGACACTCTCCACCCCCCACCAAGAAAATGCTTGCCGTAAGTAACAAGATTTGCATAATTATGATTATTTATTTTTCTCTGCTATTATTGATGTACAACATTAAAGACAAGCTTCAAAGCAGGCAAAACATTCCTCTCCTGCACATTCACAAAGGAAGTAGAGCAGGAATGACAGAGAGAGAGAGAGAGAGAGAGAGAGAGAGAGAGAGAGAGAGAGAGAAATTAACAATTCTATAGTCCTACCCTAAGGAAGAACAAATAAATAAATAAATACACAAACAAAAATAGCCGATGCAGCAGTTTTAGTCTGTCACCATCTGTTCTAGTATGTTCCAGGTACTAACAGTTAACAATATTAACAATTCAATTTTGGATACCCTTGCCGTAAGAAAGCAATCAAGTAAAATTGTATACTTGCACAATAAATCATAACATATTTAAAATTATCGGCATCTGGCAAATGTTTTTTACTGATATTTCAAACTGATATTTAATGACACATTTGGAAGAGCAGAATGTTTAGATGACTCTGAGCTACTGTGTTAAAATGTCTGCATTTTATTTATCTTACTGCATTTGTAACTCTGAAATACATTTTTGATTTCTCCATAATGCTAAAGCATTTTTAAAAAAGTTTATGTAAATAGGTATATGAAAAATTGTATATTGGCAATGGCCCAGAATTCTAAAATCAGTGAATCTCTAGCATTTATCCATGACCTGTATGTCCTGTATTACATACTGTACGTCCTGAATGACCTACGTTATTAAACAGATAACAGTTTTAGATTCAACCAGAGAGAATTCAACACTTTTCTTCAAAGATGATATTATATTTTACTCTGATATGAGGGTTTGAGGTCAGTGCTATAGTTGCCCCTTGGAATACACCAAATTCTTTTTGCATTTCATTAAAACGCATTACAGTTTCACAGATACCCTCTTAATTTACATGTATTTACTGTAAATTCACATTAAACTACTGACAATGATGTAAAAGTCCAGGTTGCAAAGTAGTACTTGTACAGATGCAGGGATCAGCACCATTATTAGGTGAAATTTGTATTTAGCATGTATTTAATCTCAATGAGAAGCATGTGAGCTGTAAGTCCAGCCTCCACATAAACCCTCCACTGGCTCTTCACACGCACATCCACACAGGACGCATATTACTATGTAAACGCAGGACAGCTGTCCCACTGGAGGTGTTTACATGTATAATTCACACAGCAAGCATGTTAACTCTGTGTCTGTGCAATAATCCTGTAGGAAATCATACGTGTGTTGAACATTCTCATGTATTTCAGACACAACTATAAAGAAGTCTAAGCATTTTTGTTTAATCCAACCTCTGGCTAGCACATGTCCAGAAACACCATACAGGGCTTTGTCTGCGTACAGTATCCACTGGTGACCACTGCTCAAAAAGAGATCTGTCATTAAACACACCAAGATGTATGAATAATGCATGAATAACAGAGAATTTGCATGGGCGTATGTAGATTCCCTCATTTCATGACAATGGTGATTTTAATAACTTAGATGATCATTAGTGCGTTATGAATTAGCATGTATTAATGGACTCAATTATTGAATTAATAGGAGGTACCTGAAAGAAGGCGAATGAGAGCTTTTTCTCATGGTGAATCTGAAGTCCTACAACAGGGACACTATGAATCAATCTCCTAATTATCCACTTGCGGAGTAAATAGCACGTTGCCTCGCAATAATCCTAAGTGACATGGCGAGCAGCAGAAATGTAATGAGCCCCATACACAACGTTCTCTCAACGCTGTGGGAATGTTGCTGACATGCTGTGTGTCATCCCACCGCAAGCCAGTTAGCGTGCACTCACGCTGAGAGCAGAGGTTTAAACGGACCACTGGATGTTATTTCTGCTACACAAAAACTGACCCTTCTGAGTGTGAATGTAAACGCACGCATTCACTCACTACCACACACAGTCCTGAATGGGAGAGCTTGTTCACACACATGCACAGGTTTATCAGGATTGTCACTGTAATGCAAAAAAGTGCATCTGTATTTTTATTCTGTACTTTTTTTTGCATAATTTGAAAGCTGCAGTTATCCTTAGCATTGCATTAAAATGTCATGAAAGGACCAACAGAAGTCCATACTACTACTTGTAATTTTTCCTGTGTGTGTGTGTGTGTGTGTGTGTGTGTGTGTGTGTGTGTGTGTGTGCCCAACATTCAGTGATATTGAGGTCTGGACTCTGGGGTGGTCAGTGCATTGTTCCCAGAACATCAGCAGCTTCTTTTTGATTTCCTGGCTATTTTCTTTTCTCAGTAACAGGTTTTTGACAGCTATGCATTCTTTCAGACTCACAGTGTTAAGTTGTTGTCTCACAGTGGAAAGATGGACAGAAACACCTGTGGATTTTTTCAGATATGAAGCAAGAGTACAGATTTTCTCTTCTGTCTGAAATATAAAAATATCCAAATATGAAGCTTATATAAACTTGTCTCTCTCATATATATATATATATATATATATATATATATATATATATACACACACACACACACACACACACATATACATACATACATACGCGCGCGCACACGCGCGTCTTGATTTTATGCTACTGATTGAATAGCTGAAGGGTCCCCACATCCTTCTGCTGACAATACCAGAGGGGGAATTACTTCCCTTTAAATCTGTTTCATATCCCACTGCTGTATGACTGATACCTCCCTCTGCATGCACTGTGCATGAGTATTCACACACTCACACTCACTCACACCTCCATGCATCCATCCATGCTCTGTTAAGGTCTGAGTTATAGAGTTATGGGTGGCCTTCAGTCTGATGGAGTACAGATTCAGACTGGGATTAAAGAGTCATGGTGATCACTAGAAACTAAATATTGTATTGATTACAATGAAGCTCAATTCAAATGCGGTCATTTGAGTCCAGTTTGATAGAAATGCCTCTTAGTACAGCTACTACCCACTTTCTGCTATTCCTTATGGAAAGACCAGTATTATATCATTAATTACTACTAGTAAACACTAATCTACACAGGATAACTGGGAACCACCCAGAAGGAAGAGAGAGAGAGAGAGAGAGAGAGAGAGAGAGAGAGAGAGAGAGAGAGAGAGAGAGAGAGAGAGAGAGAGCACAGTGATTGTGTGTCAGCTGCTTCTCTTCCCCCCCACATGATTGATTTCCCCTGGAGGAATGCCTCCACTCTGAGAGCATGCCGGAATCAAGATTAATAAGAGGCCATTTAAATCTCCAGTCTCCCTCTCTCACACACACACACACAGGCCTACAGTCATGCACACTAACATGGGGCCCTCATCCTTCACAGGCGAAGGCAAGCATCTGAAATCTGAATCGTAGCGCAACTCCGTGCCAAAAGCACTCCCCTTCTCCTCCAATAATCTGCAAATCAACAATCATTCCCAGACCATGCTATTCTTCTTCCTGCTAATGCCAATACTTGGCTCTAATAAGGCCCGCACAAACTGATTCTCTCAATAAGATCACGAATACACACTATATGTAGATTCTTCCTCTGAAATGTTCTATGCTGGAAGTGGTCTTTTTTCCTTGAATAATACGAGAAAGAAAAACAGATGACTCCAGGGACCGGGCCTTGCATTGAGAGGTTCTGGGAAATTCATTAAAAAGCGGAAAAGGGTGAGATCTAATTTGACTTGACCTTGAAGGCAGCGTGAAACAATAAATAACAGGTCTCTGAAAAAGGCCAAATGTGTAAGAAGATCATTCGCTCAGATAAAGAGACAACAAGAGGTCGTAAACAGTCTTCCAACAGAGAATTATCATCATGTATAACATCTATATTTCTGATTAAAAATACTACATGTTCACCTTTCTTTAGGAAATCAAACACAGAAGCTACCTGCTTTCCTAACCAGACCCCTTTCCTCACTAAAGTTTCTCCACTTTAATAGTGAAAAAAAGCATCTCATCACTTGCTTGTTCACACCCGTGGCCTTGCCAGCCTTTCTATTACTCAAAGCAACATGCTCTCTCTCCCTCACTTAATGACTCGTGCATCGCAGGTGCCAACTTTTTTTTCCCAGGGAGGATGAGCGATAAAGACATGCGTAAAGCAGCACAGAGCCAGGTAGGGATCACCAGCAGTGTAACAGCGTCTCGATCAATGCGCGACAATCAATTCTCCACTTCAGAGTGGTGTAGGGCTTCAAGAGATGGATGTTATTATTCAAGTCCACCATTAGAGCCCCACTGTGGTGCTGAGGGGACAGAATTTGTGAGTGTGTGAATGCGTGTTGTGTGTGTGTGCTAGTGTGCGTGCATGGCAAGCAATTGAGCATGTTATTTCAACTACTACTTGCTCTGGTGTGGTCTAGCAATGAAGTAGAACATCAAACAGTATACATGTCCAACCGCAAAATGTGTTTGAAAGCTGCCACCCAGGTGACGATTAACAATTAAAAGAGAGAGAGAAACACAGTGAGAAAGAACCTGAAGAGAACCCCAAGAGAAGCCAGAGAGAACCAGATAACCCAAAAAGAACCTAAAAACAACCCAAGCACTATACCTTAGTCTGGAGATAGTGAGGGTAGTAGTAGGTGTACTGGGGGTACATTGGTTGCTGTTCCAAACGTTTGCCCATGTAGCTGGAATCCCTCTGGCCGTGGCAGGATACGGATACTCGCGTGCTTGTGTCCAAAAAACTCCAAATTGCCCCCTGCTTCCTGGGCCAGAAGTGGGATTTGTGCAGTGAAAGGAGGATGAGAGAGTGAAAGAGAGGGAGACTAAGAGAGAGAGAGATAGAGAGTGATGGGGAGTGTCACAGGACCTCTGGCTGTCCTTCTGTCCGTCACTGTGTAGGAGTTGCACTCTCGGCTCTTCTCTAATGGGGAGAAAAGCAGGAGAAGATGGAGGGAGAATGGAGAGCTGAGGAACAGGATAGCTGTAAAGAGAGAAAGAAGGAGCAGCAATACAAGAGGGAAAGGAGACGATGAGGGAAAGAGAAGGAGGAAGGTAGGTACAGGGGGAGGTTTTGCAGCGATCACTTCTACGAAAGAGCTGCTATTCCCCGGCTCATGCCTTGACTTTGTCTCCCTCTGTCTTTCTGGTTTTCCTCTCTTCCTGGCTCTCTCGCTCGTCTGTGCAGTGTCAGATCCTGCAGGAGGCTGTCAGATATCCCAGGCACACACAGGCTCCGCTCGGCTGCACACTCTGTTTGCTCTGTTCTGGCCGACACACACAAAGAAGCGGTGCAGACGGATGATGTGGAGACTCAGTCAGTGGGACCAAACCCTCCAGCTTCAAGTCCAGCTTCGATCACGGAGGAAGAATAAAGAAAAGGGAAAAGGGAAAAAAAAGACAGCACAAACTCCTCAAAGGGAAAATCCGGCACTTATCCCAAAACCCGCACCAGCAGTCTTTCTTCTCTCCGTGTCTGCCTGGTTGATGTCTTCTTTTCCCACGGCCTCCTTGCCTGCTTGCCGCTCACCTGCGCCGCAAGTGTGAGTGTGTGTGTGGCTGCGTGCGAGTATGAGTGTGTGTATATGAGAGTATGTGTGTGTGAGTGAGTGTGTGTGTGAGTGCACGCTGCCGGCTGCTCCACACTGGTGAAGAGTTAAAGGCTCGGCTCGGGCAGCGCTCGGATCTCTCCTCCTCCTCCTCCTCCGCCTGGTGGGTGTGGCTAAAGGCAGGATGTAGTGCTGCTTGACTGGGAGGTGTGTCTTAAACAGCCTCTTTCTTTCTCTCTCCCCCTCTCTGTGGCTCGGCCACCCCTCCACAAAGCATGCACTCTGATGGGCAGGAGGAGCCAGCGGGCGAGCGAGAGAGAGATGCAAGGGGCCGAGGCCCCCTACTGGTGACGCACAGATTGCACATAGCCTTTTCCTTTAAAAGCACATTCAAGTCTTTCTTTTCAGCCTTTTTTGTTTTTTTCCCCCGTATCACTTTCACATCACTGTAAATTAGCAGTGGAAGAATGAAAGAGAAAAGGTGATTTGCTTTCCGTCATCTAACACCCAGTTACCTGTGGCCTACAACAGTGGCTGATGTTGTGACATACTGACACACTGGCATCCATGCATACTAGAGCAGAGAAATTTGGCCTTAAATAGCACTTACATAAGACTCTGTGCTCTGACGCTCAACTCTGCTCACAGTACAGAGCTTCCGCAGGAGAAAAAAATGGGTTGTTCTTTTTCTGCTGCTAAAATAACATTAATCAGTGTTAGTGCTTGATACTCAAAAAAGTAATCCTATCATATTACTAGTTACTTCTCTCAAAGTGATACTCAATACTTCCAGGAAAAAGGAATCTCACTACTCATTACTTTAAGTTACCCATATAAATCTGTATCAACTGGTAAAGCTTTGTAAATAACAAAAGCATTGACGCTGCTTTTGTGCCATGTCATTCTGTACTACATTAGAACAAAAAAATGGGAGTAGTTTGCTTGTATGGTCATCAAATAAGCAACCAAATAACCCATAATAAGTATCAAGCCATCTAACAACTGCTAAACGTTAAACAGCGCTGCTAAATAAGAGAGAGGAGTTGGTTAGTATTAGCTTAGCTAGCATGATAACAGCTATGTTCACCACAGAACACGTTCAATTCAAACTAAGCAAACTAATCACAAGTTTAGATGATAGTGATTCAAGTCTGAGGGACTGAAGTCGAGCAACTGGCATTAAACTAAACCTGTTCTGTGCTGTTTGGCTTGATCGCTAAAGCTAACGATAAGCAGGCTACAGACTACAGACCCTAACAACGCTATACACTACGGTAAAGGTTTGATTCTGACTAAGAACTGCTTGCTGAAAACAGGTGTAGATGACAACAACTAATATCAGACAGCAAAATTCCAGTGACTGGTGTTGGAGTGACAGAAAGCTGAAATCAACCCTTTTCTGTAGTGTTCGGACTGTATAGAAGACTCTATAGTTCTGGGCTGTTTCTGGCTTACATAGATGAGTGTTGGTTGACTACCAGGCAGATGTCAGGCATGGGGGCCAGAATAGTGTCAGATGCCTCACAGGTTTGTACAGTTTTGCCTGGTGTTCATATATGTGGGCCAATTCTGGCCTGAATCTTGCAGAACAACAATGTATTTGTTCCAGATTTGGGTCACTGTCATTAGTTCTACTTACTTTACAGCGTATGGGCCAGATCTGGGCCATGGACCCAGCCTTATACTGGGCCAGAACAAGCCCAAGGATGTGGTCCACGAGTGGGCCAGACAAATTTTGTTAACGGGGTAGCATTTTGGCCAAGATAACAATAGCCAACAATAGCCACACCACAGCAAAGGCTTGGTTCCAGGTAACTGATGCTAGAGATATCTGAGAGCGTAAAGTCGAATGACTGGTGTTATAATGAAAGTCGAAAATCAACCATGTGCTTGATGTGTGTAGCTTTTAGCAGTCGCTGAGCAACTGTCATGTTTTTACTAAGGTTTTTCTTGGCTCTCATTTTCCCCTCTTTCTATCAGCACCACCCACTGGTGAGCTCCCAAACCACCAATCAGTGAGCTGCTCTAAAATATAACCTATTGTAATGTGTTTATCTGGCCATTCAAACACAGAATAGAAATTTGACATGCCATTTTGACATGCAGGCATCATTTTTAAATACCGTGGTATACCTTATCACCGTTACACCACCCAACCCTAGTGACCAATGCCATTCGACACCCCGAAACAAGCTAAAATTCAAAAATATAATCCTTATGAATAAAATGGAAAGCTCAAAGAGCTATTTCTATGAAAATGAAGTCTTGGCTGTTTAGGTCAGGGCTCATTCTTATTCAGTACTGGATCTTTATACTGTTTAATATCAACATGATTAGATGCTTCAATGCATTGCTTGTGCAGCCTGCGGCAGTGGAACGTTTTCCCTGCACTCTCCCTGTGCTGCTCATGTTCACAGTCGAAGTTGCAGTCTATACAAGCACCAGCATAGATGATAGATGACATATACACTGATCAGGCATAACATTATGTTTCTACGCTCATTGTCCATTTTATCAGCTCCATTTACTATATAGGTGCACTTTGTAGTTCTACAAATTACAGACTGTAGTCCATCTGTTTCTCTGCATACTTAGCTTCCTTTTACCCTGTTTTTCAGAGGTCATGGACCCTCACAGAGCAGGTACTATTTGGGTAATGGATCATTCTCAGCACTGCAGTAACACTGACGTGGTGGTGGTGTGTTAGTGTGTGTTGTGCTGGTACGAGTGAATGAGACACAGCAGTGCTGCTGGAATTTAGTAAGTGGAGCTGATAAAAATGGATGATGATTACATTAATATATTAATGAATTAATATTATTTCACTTGATAAAGTAGACAATGTCCCATTCTACTCCTTTTCTCAATAATAAGCAATGATGTCGCCCCACATGGATAGGGTTTTTCGACTGTTCTGCAATTGCGTCTCAAACCACACATACAGTACCAATTAGCACATTAAATTAGTACACAACCAATGTTCCATTACTGTTTAGCATAGCAACTATGTGTACAGCCTGTATGTAGGTCCATAGGTAAATTCAGGCAGAGTTGTATTTTTATGATTTCGTGTTAAAGCCAGAACAAATGGAAGCAGGATTGCCAACTTTGATGAAGTGAATGGAGTGAGATTTTCAGGTGGCTAGAGTAAGACTGGAGTGAGATTTTTCAGTTTTGCATGCAGAAGTGGGGATCCATTGTTACACTGTTTGAAACACAATTTGAAAACACAGCTCATATTCACCAGCATTGTAGGCCAGTGGTATCCAATCTATTCTGCAAAGGGCCAGTGTGTCTTCAGGTTTTCATTCCAAACGAGCAGGAGCACACCTGATTCCACTTCTTTCATCAGTTGGTCTCAGTCTTTGAGACTGACCATGCGAGCTCCTGTTTTGTTGGAATGAGATTGGACACCCCTGATGTAGATCCATGGTTTTTAAATCAGTCCTCAGGAGAAGCAGCTGAACCAACCCATTATGAATATCTAGTACAGGTGTACTGCAAGCTGGGTTAGAGTACAAATGTGGTGTGAGGCAGCTGTTTTTGAACTACTTCTTCTGATTAGTTTCTAGGTATTCAAACAGCAACGCTTACTGTGATTAGTGAAAATTTTTCCTTGTACTTTCTAGGTGGTAGTAAAAGTATGTGTTTTAGAGAAGCAAAGTAAAGCTTCTTGGTAAAAAGTAATATAATCTTATTATAGCTTGAGAGAAGTAATTAGTAATTTGTAAAGGATTACTTTTAGTAACTGTCCCAGCACTGTTAGTGGCAGATGATGGTGATGAAGTTAAACCAATTTCATCAGGAGCTGAGCTGAGGAGTAGCATGTTATACTTGTGGTAATGCCACTATGCTTCACTCCACACCGCTTACTCTGGCCTCAGTAGTGACCAAAGTGAAGCTGCAGGAGATACAGCCACTCTTCAATAGGCTATGTGAAGCACTCAGATGTCATTATGCATGAAGAACTTAAATTCTTGCAATGCAAGCTTGTTCTGAGGGCTTGGCTGGCTTGAGATTCTTTTGCACAACGTGGGAGCTTGACCACACTTGAGTCTTATGCCAAAACTGTGAGGGTTGGCAACCTGGACAGTAGTCTAGAAGATTTATCTGTACAGCACTTAAACACTTAAAAATGTAAAAACAAACTAAATTAACAAGACGATTATCTGTTTAAAAATGCACACACACAAAAGAAGTGACAATAGGGCTGCACACTGACGTGATAAGAAGTTGCACCATATGCTCAACACTTTCACCCCCCACCCCCATCCCACCTAAAAACTGGCAACCCTGTTCCACCTTTTATTAAGACTCTTCTGCATTTTGCATGACATTGCACTTAAGAACATAAAACAATGGTATTTGGCTGTAAATAGGCAAACACCAGTGTTTCAACTGTAAAATCCACCAGTATCTGTCTGTAGCACAGAGGTTCAGTGCTTCTCTGAGTTCATTTGATTTTTGATTAATTCATTCAGAATGTTTTAGTGCACATTTAGCTATTACTCATTATTATATGACTACCCACTTCTCCAATTTCCTAGACAATCCATGAGACCAAGGAAATTAGCTTTTTATTAGAATCCAAACTGTTAAACAGTCATTGAATACTTAAGTTTACAATAGTCAAATGAGCAGTAACAGTAATAATGTAACCATGTTGGCTCCAATTGCTTTGCACATGTCAAACTGAAACTAGCTTTCCTTCCTTAAAAATGATCAGCCACTCATGATGAGTAACCAAAGTACATAGCGACCTGAGGGAATGTAAGCACTGTTGCACTATTAACCAGGTGTGGACTGCGCTGGGCTTTTTTGGCCCAGAATGGCCCATCAAAACCGGACAGGC